GGCTTTTCCCCCCCAAAGGATGCGTGGAGAAGTCAGCTGTGCTTCAGTCATTATGCCAAATGCGGGGCTAAATGCAGTCGTTACAGTGCGAAACAAAGGCAGTCTGGTCCTGCTTTCAGCATGACTACAAGTGGCTGCAAGCACCACCACCAGGTTGCTGAGTGTGAACACACAGGTACGGTTGGCGAGGCCAAGTGCGTGCCCAAGCACTCGTGCTCGTATGTGCAAGGCGCGGTTGTGCGCAGGGCTCTCTCTGGGTGAAGAGCCAGAACGCGCTTCCTCCGGTTGCGGCTGCAAGGCGGAAGGGAAGGAGGAGAGCTGAGGGGTGCCCGGCGTGCTGGGAAGGAGCTGCTTGCAGAGGCCACGTGCACTGGCCACCGATCTGGACGGCCCTCCTTGGGGACTTCCAGAGGTGCTTGGTCTCGCCAGGGTGACACTAGCCGTCGCCTTGCACTGCCAGCGCAGCTAGGGCGGGGAAGCCGGGTGCCGGCTCCTCGGCGGGCGCTCGTTGCGGGTGCCGGCAGGGGGAGCGGCAAGGGGGTGGCGGGACCGCATCACATCTGTGGCTCCGTGGCAGGGCGCCGAGGAAGTTTTGCAGCAGCGTTAGAAAATGTTGACATGTTTTTTGAAACAATTTCAGATCTGATATCTGCGCCAGATTGAGTTTGTAACCAGCTTTATTGTTTAAGCCTGCTGGGATTTCATCAAAGGCGTCTGCTGTTTACCTAGAACCATTTCATTGGAGAAAACAGCAAACAGACCTGCATTTCTATCTGATTTCACTTTTTCCTTTTCCTCATGAATTTAAGTGCTTGTGAAAAGCACGGCTGATAAGGCAGAGCAGTGCGGAGGAATCCTGGGGCCCGGCTCTGAAGGGACGCGGGCAGCTGCTCGGGGTTTATTGATAGACAGAGGCGAGCCGGGGTGCCTTGCCAGTCGCTCAACGTGGCACAGAGACGCCTGCCCTGGTGCAGACCCCCTCCCGCGCGGCGGCACGGCACGGCGCGGCGCAGCGCCGTCCCACGAGCTGCAGATGCACCCTGCTGGCAGGATCTAAGGGCAGGTGGGAAAATCCATTCAGCGTGTTTTGTACTGGATCCAGTACAAGTGCAGATTTCGGCTACAAAAGCCTGAACATCTGTCCCTCCACAAGCAGCAGCGGCAGCCCAGCCTAGAGATGTGCTCAGTGATACAGAAACGAGCTTCACCAAAGAACATGCCACCAAGGGAAGCAGATAGAGATGAAGGAAAAAGCCAACCGGAGAGAGGCCTAAAGTAAATAACATTAATCCTGCTCACGCCTCGGCCTGGACGGCCTGCCAGAGTTCACAGGCTCTGCAGATGCCCAGCCAGTCCGTGCCCAGCCCCGCCGGGGTCCCGCAGAGACCGGCCATGGATGAAGGGACTGCTTCCACGTGCACTTTGCCAGGCTGGGGAGCAAGGGGCTCCGCGCAGCCCCCGAAGCCCTGCGAGCTGGTCGAGCGGGCCCGTTTCCTCACTCGGGCTCTGGGTTTCCAGCACCCGCTTCGGCGGCTTCCTGAGAGGGAAGAGAAACGTGCTCTTCCTCTGACGTTGTCTGTCCAGGCTCTGCAAGGCCCTGGCTTCACTTCCCTGCGCCCGGGGCAGCAGGCGACGGCAACGCTGCCCTTGCAACCTGCTTGCTGTCCGGTGCGGGCTGCGGGGCCTATGTGTCCCCCCACGGGCGGGAGAGGACCAGGCAGAGCCTGGCGATGCAGCGCTCGCTCATCCTGCCCTCTCCTACTCCCACATCAGCTCAGCTCTCCCCTGTGCCGTGACCCCGCTCCGGCGTCAGCGGGGGCTACAAAAGCAGATCTGAAGATGGATCAACAATGCACCTGGAAGGCATTCCCAATGCCAGCCATCACACCAGCACCCCGGCTCAAATCCCCAGGCTCTCGCTGCCCCGAGAAGCTGTTTGCGAAGGCCGGGACAAGTGCGGAGGCAGGCGCTGGATGGAGACAGGAGAGGGGGGCAGGCATCCTCGCTGTGGTCCAGCGACCCGGTCCGCGGTGCTCGCTGGTCCTGATGCACGGCCCTTGCTCTGGCGGCGGGCTCCCCCCCTGCGCGCCCGGCGCCCGCCTTGCCTGGAATCCCGCTGACGTGGCTCCCCCGGGTCGGCCGGGCGAGGCGCGGAGCAGAGCAACCCGGCGACTGAGCGACGAAATGCAAATCGCCGAGTCTCCGCGCTCCCTTTCCGGCGCGGATCCCATCTGCATCTCATTCCCGGGACCTGGGGCTCCTCCAGGTCTCATTTAGTGGATTCTGTCAGCCAGGCGCCTCCTTGGCGACCGCGCCGGCTTGTCTCTTACATCTATCACACCTGCGCTGTGACAATGTAATTTTTATCTCCGGTTGTTTATTTCTCAGATGGAACTACTTGTAAATCCTGAGAAGAATATATATCCCGCCTGTGACAGAACCAGCACAAGACGATTAATCTGCCCTTTTAAGACTGGAATGCAAAGCTGTGCAATGTCACTCCTCGAATGCGGCGTGCTGCGCACCGGGCCCAGCCCCGCTGGCAGCGACACCGGCGCCAGCCCCTCCGGGGTCCCGCCGTGCCACCGCCGGGACGATTTCCAGCCGCTTCCTGCTGCTCCGTGAGAGGCGTCCTGGAGGGCAGCACGCAGGCATCATGTGCGACCCCGGGGAGGACCGGCCCTGCGCGTGCTCGGGGACACAGATGCAAGGCAAGAGGTCCAGGTCTTGGCTCTGCCTGGCGGTGCCCGTGTCGCCAGTGCAGGAGGGTTCCCATCCAGCGGAAATGGCTCTCCGGCACCCCGATCCTCATCCCTGTGGCAGGAGCTGTGGAAGACCCTGGCTGGGACACCACGGTACTCCAGTACACGGTACTCCCTTAGGCCCTAGCTCACGAGGGTTACACCGTGCTGCGGTCTGCACCGGCTGGCTTTCACCGGGGGCAGCACCCCTGCTTCCTGCTAGCCTGGCCTGGGCACAACGACACCGCGGCGCGCTCGGTGGGGCAGACGTGTGCGAGGTGGAAGAGAGACGGGCCCCGAGCCTGGAACCCTTTACACGGAGACCAGCTCGGCAGCGGGGGTGACACGAGGTGGCTCGGTCCCCGTGGACTCCCCTTTCACCGGCTCACGCACATCAGGGCCGCTCCCAGCCGCAGCGTTGCACCACCCTGCCAACAGGCAGCTTTGCCGGCAGCTCTGGGCTTTCTGCTTCCCTCCAGCGACAGGGTTTGCCCACGAGCTTGCAGCACAACAGCCTGGCACTGGGTCTGTGATGCCCGGGGTGCGTGAGGTGAGACCAGGCCAGCGACAGGAGCTCCTGGCAGGGACCTCTCCAGCCACGTAGCCCATCTCCTCATTCTCCTTCACAACTGCCAGGGCAGGACTGTTCCCTACGGCCAAGAGGCTCTCGCCACTTCCCTTTGGCGATGACGCGAGCCCAGCGACTCCTTGCCAGGGTTTCTCCCGACGCCGCGCTGAAGCGTCTTCTTTCTGAATCCCATCCCACTGCGCAGCTACTTCCCCGCCCGCACCTCCCCTCCAAAGTCCTTTCTTTCCTCACCGTGAGCCCTTGCCTGTGTGTGGTACATGGCCTGCCCACGTGAAAGGAGTCTGGAGCCCTTTCCACACCTAACCAGTGGCCCCATTGACTTCAAAGGATGTGTGCTATGAGTAGCTCTCCAAGAAGCATACGTCTAACTCGCCCCTGGCATGGACAAGTGCAGTTTGGGCCATCGCAGCAGCGGGGCCGCTCCACGTCCCCACCAGCGCGGTCCCGTGAAAGCCTGGCAGAGGCTTTGCACCTCGGGGTGGCATCCCTGGGTGTGGAGGGCGCTGGCCGGAGAACCGCAGCGCCAGCAGCCGAGTGCTGTGGCAAAGCAGGCGTGCGGTGGGCTTGCACACCTTCTGCTGGCTCTCCCCGTTGGGTTTGCAGCATGGCGAGGCTAAGGGCAGGGGCTGAATCTGCTGTGCATCCCCCTGGGCTGCAGCGGGAAGGCACCAGCTTCCCAAGGTCGTGGTGCCCTCCAGACTCACACCACGAGCAGCAGCTGGGGCTGACTTAGTGAAGTGACTTCAGGGCACCGCGGGGCCCTCCTCCTTGGGGGACTTAGTGACCTTCAGGGCACCGCAGGGCCCTCCTCCTTGGGGGACTTGCTGGTGCTGGCGCTGGCACTGTCCTTTCCAAGAGACGGTCTGGGAAGGGAGGAGATGATGCATCTGGCTTGCTGCTGCTGGTGCTGGGGAGCGTGGGGGCTCTCCTCGTGAGCACAGCCGAGCTGCGGCGGCCAGTCCCCGCTCTCCCGTTCAGGAGGTTTATGCAAATGAGGATTTTGACTTCCTTTCTGCTCCTGGTCTGTGGTGCCCCAGATACCAAAAGTGCTGAAGAGAGACATTTGTACGAGGTCTTGCAGTACATGAACACCAGCCATCTGCGCGGGTGCCGGGGGGGCCGGGAGACAAGGCCTGGGAGGAGGAGAGGGCGAGCGAGAGGCAAAGGGACCCGGCGTGGGGAGGCGTGGGGAGGCGGGGGTCACGGACACGGAGCTGCCGCCCCAGGGGGGCAAGGCAGGAAGGCTGCTCCATCTCTTCCCGCTTCCTTTCACACTTCTGATGCCTCTGAAATGTGCTAATGGGCTGGCTGCGGGAGGGACCGGGCTGCCAGGCAGAGGCAGAGGCAGAGGCAGGGCCGTCCCCAGGCTGATCCAGCGCTGGCTGCCTGCGCCAGCCTTCGAGAAGGGCCCGGGCCGCCAGCGAGGCTGGAGAAGGCAGGACGAGGAGCGTTGAGTAAATCTTCATTATGCAGAAACCTGCAGCCTTATAAGCAGCTCCTCCCGTGACATAAAGCCGCTTATTTACAACCCCCTACTCCAGCGCATCTGGGAAGCGAAGCGCGTCATTTTCCAGAGAGCACAATGCTGCATATTTCAGCGTCTTCTGAATTTTTTAGGTTTCCCTGAACTGTGCTAATGGGTTGGTGGTGGGGGGAGGCAGACGAGGGAGCAGCCCATTACCCAGCCTCCTCTGCTGTGGGCAGAAACCGCTCTCTGACGCGCAGCCCTCACTGCATTGCTGCTCTTAAAATATTCAGTGCTGTTGGCCACCGATTTCACAGCAGGTCAAAGCATGCCGAGTTAGCAAGAGGAGGCAAAGTGTGACAGTGAGATTAAACCCAGCCCAGCAGGGCCTGGCAGCATGCAGGAGCCGCACAGCCTCTGCCTCCCAGGGCGCGGGTGCGGGCGTGGGCGCGGGACGGAGAGATTAGTTGGAGGGGGCTGAGACCGGGAGGGCAGGCGGCACAGGCTGGCGCCCGGAGTCACCCACCTGGAACTGACCCCAGGATCCTGGCCGGCTCGCTCGGGCCCTTCCTGCTCCCAGCCTACGAGCTACACCGCCTGGGTGGTGCAATGCTGGCAGGGCTGTGGCCCGTGCTGCAAAGGCTGAGGGCCTCTCGCCACGTTTCCCCCTTTGCGGCGCGGTGGTAGCACTGCTCTCCCAGGACTCCCTCCCCGAGGGCTGCCCCAGCTCCGTGGCCAGCGGCAGGGCACGAGAGCGGAGACTGCCACGTCCCTCGGCAATGGCAACGGTAATCCTCAGCCCTCCTCTACCCTGACACGCTGCCTTTCCAAAGCGTTGCACAAACACAGCTAATGCTAATGATGAAGTGGTGGATTTACGCACTGAGAGCCGCGGCTGGACTCCACACCAGAGGGGATTACGGACTTGGATTTCGTAATTCTATCGCAGGCCCAGATTTCGTCCTGAGAGCATCAGCTCGTCTGTGGCCTTGCAGGAAACAGTCACGGCCAAAAGGAAAGGTGAAGGAAAAGGGAGGAATGTGTGTCGCCAATGACGGACAGCAAGAGGTGCAGAGAGCGTAGCACCCACGCACGGGCAAAATCCCACCGGGCCTGCTCACCCAGCACGGGCAAACCCACGGAGCCCGCACGGACGTTTCACGGCGGCCGTCTGGGTGCGTGCCTTGGGGGCAGAGGGTGCTTCCAGAGCCCCGGAGGAGCGTGGTGCGCTCTGGCTGCTGTCTTCCCGTCTGCATGGGGGCTTTGTCCTAATTACGCTGGATGCACGAACCAACGCAGGGAGCTCCTGCGCTGCCCGGCACATCCGCGAAGGCTGCACGACTCCAGCGGTCGGTGGACCAGCTCGGAGGGCACTGCAGTAACGCAGCATGGAGGAGACAGGGGCCTGGGCACGGAGCAGACCAGCGTCTAAGAGGCGGCACCATGCCCTTGCTAAGGGCTGGCAGAACTGGACACCAGGTGTCCGTGGAAAGGCCAAAGGCACCCGGGTTTCAATACGGCTTCTGGACTTCCAGAACAGTGACCGTAGTCAGACAATTGCCCTCCCGCTGGTGCTGGGAACTGGAGCTGGGCACCTGCCTCAGCAAAGACGGAGCACCTCCATTCTCACTGAAACCTGCCATCTCTCACTGCCTGTACACACGGCTTCTTTACCAGCTCCCTGTTAGCACAGCGTAACAGCAGAAAGTCGACAGATGGATTCGTCATGCACAGTTTCACCAGTTCCTTTTCTTAGCATGCACGCGTTGTTAGTTTTATGAAGCGGGTTCTTTCCAAGGGAGCTGTTGCAAGTGGCTGGGGACTTTGCCCTCACCCTTAGTCTAACTAGGGTCAATTCTTGGGGCAGAATTGCCCTCTGAGGATAAGATGCTGATATTTTGTGAGATTCCTGATAGACGAGTCGTCTGCATGTCATTTGGCCGTTTCTGCTCAAGGATGGGTGTATTCGATGTAAAACAAAACAAGTTACCCCAAGAAAACACCCAAATGCCACGTCGCTGCCTTCTCCTCCCCAAAGCGTGCTTCCATTAGCAGAGGTGACTGCACATGCGAGGAAAATGCAAGTGTCAGGTCTGTGGGCAGTAAGGAAGGGGATCACAGCTATCCCTCTGCATGGGTATTTGTGCCAGAAGTGTTTGCGTGGCTGCTTTAACTCTCCCGGTGGCATAGGGACCCTTCACCCTGGAGAGCGGGACCGGTGTCCTGTGGCTTGGGGGAGAGTACGGCTTTGTGTGTCACACTGTCCGGCACGCGGGCCCCTGAGGAACGACCCCCATAACAGCGAGGGCAGATTCACCTGCTGGCAGGGGCTGCTTTCCTCTTGCTCCTGCCCGTGAGAGTGCTGGCGCGTGGGCTGATAGATAAATGTTATGGTCCCTAATGCTTTTTCATCCTGGCTAATGCAATGGCATTATCCACTTAGATGTATAATCCTTTCAGGAGCCCCACTAATCTCTTGGCCTCCCTGCTATCTTGTGGCAGTGAGTTCCATGGGCAACTGATGCATTGCGGTTAAACAGGCGGCACAGATAGCGATTAATGAACGAGATATTTCAGGCTCCAGCTCCCGTGGATAATGTGCAAGCATCCACAGGCAGGACTGTATTGGCACAAGTCATTCACTGAATAACAAATGCACTCGTAAAACTCCTAGTCTGTTTGTGGATAATTCATGAACAGAGAAAGGGGCTACATTACTTGAATAAACTATTAGCTGTGAATAGTTCCCACAAGCCCTTCTCAAGACTCGGTTTCAGGCTGCGGTGCCGAGGGAGTCTCTGGAACTGGCACTCCTGCTCCGGAAAGCCCAGCCCTGAATTGAGTCCTATCCACATGGGCTCGGTTAAATGGCTTGCGTTTCTGGTGTTATTGTTTCTTCCCCTGGAAGTGCAGTCTATCATCTCCTACCAAAATGAGAGAATATATTCCTCACACCGAAGCTGCCTCATTCTTACCTGGAAGAGAGCGAGCGAGAGAAAGGGAGAGTGAGCGCTGGAGGAAGGAGGAGGAAAATCATATGTTATTTTTAAAAGGCATTTTGAGTGAATGTTGAATAGGGTTTGGGAAAATTGCCTTAAAGGCTTGTTCTCGGCAGGGATGTCGCTTTTCATGGAGCCCAAGTATTTTGAAACTTAATTGCACATTTGCACGGGCTAGTGTTTTTATTTCTCTCAGGTCTCTGAGGTGGTCTTTGAAGATTGCTGTCTCTCCATAATGGTTTTCTTTATCTCAAATAAATTCTGCACACCTGCGAGGAGGAGCTGCTTGAAAGAAATGATGTCGAAATTGGCTCTCGATTTAATAAATCTGCAAATGGAGCAGGAACGCAGGGAGACGATGTGACTGATGGGGCTTGTTACTCTTTTCTCCTCTCCCCCCACTCCTCTTCCATCCTCCTCTCCCTGTCAGATTAGCTCGGCTTAACCCTCTCCCCCACCAGGAGGGAGCCCCGACGTGGGCTGACCCCTGCCGGAGTCGCAGGCGATAGCACCGGAGACCTGCAGCCCCCTGTCTCTCGGGGCTGGCTCTCAGCCTCTCCTCTCCCCGCTTGCTCTCCCGAGAAGCTTTCTGTTGGAGGCTGCAGGTGATGTGATTAAATAGTCACCGGCCCTTTGACAGCCCTGGCATCGTAGGAGCTGAATGCACTCTTCCTGCAGGCGCCCTCCCCGCCGGGGCTGCCTTCTCGGCCTGGCCAAGGAGGTCTCCGAACGCTCCTACTTATCCGGATTTGCAACTGATGCTCTTCCTCCCCACAAAGACGCTGCTCAGCTTCCCCCCCGTGTCCTCGTGCCTGAGGGCAGGCATGGGCCCATTGCACGGACGCAACGGGGCTCAGTGCAGAGCCGGGCTCCAGTCCTGGCTCACACTCGCTGCGTGTGCGAGACTGGGCGAGGCCCAGGCCATCTCTTCCAGATACAGCCAGTCAGGTCAATGGCATCTGCCCCTGCCTGGGAAGGACCTGGAGGTCATTACAGGGCAGCAGTAGGTGAGAGGGAGCCAGGCGTGGGCTCAGGGCTCCTGGAGCAGCGGGGCCCCAGGGACAGCTTGGCACCTGCTTCACGAGAAGGGGAGAGCCGCAAACGCTCCCAGCCCGGTAACAAAGTCCCAGCCCAGCCCAGAGACCCCAGCAGCCCCTGGGAGTCACCCTCGGGCTCCCTGGCCCTATTACACAGCTGCATCCCTGCCTGCACTCTTCCCCCATCTAAATTAGGAAACACCTAAACCTCTGATTTTCACTTAGTGCCACGTGAAGGCCAAAAGTAGCAAGCAGACAGCAACAAACGGCACGGCAGGGGGACTGGGAGCTGGCAGTGGGTCTCCTTGCCCACCGCAGCGGTCACCAACTGCACTGCAAAGGGGGGAGAGCCCTCCGCCCCGCTCCCTCCCCATCATCCCGCAGCCGTCCTTTCCACTCGGGCAGGTGCAAAGCTGTGACTCCCCGTTCTTTGCACCTTGTGTCTTCATTTACAGCTGTGCTAAGTGGGTGTAATGTGCTGCCATCGGTGTGAGCCAGCAAAGAAGGCGGAGGGGGCACAGCTGCACGTTCCCTTTGCACAGGCGCAAACGCCGGCAGAAGGTACCAGACAGCGCAGAAGCAGAACCGCTGGGGGCGGATGGCTGGCTCCGTGCCAGCAGCCTCGACCGCGTGCGGAGCCAGTGCCCGCAGCTCAGGCGGGCCCTACCCGCAATCGAGAAGCCGGCCCTGATGCAGCCCCACCCCTGCCACTGCACCGGCGCTAGCCCCCGGGCCTCGGCCAGGGAGAGCAGCCCTGGGTACGGCAGGGTTAATGAGCACCTAGAAGGGTAGGGCTGGAAGAGCCCCCCAGGCAACCCAGCCCCGTGCCCTGTGCGTACAGGCAAACAGCCACCCGGAGACCCCACAACTGTGCACACGCCTGAGACACAAGGCACCCACGAAAAGAAAGCAAAGAAACCCCCTGTATCATGCTGCAGGCCAACAGCCGGGCAGAGAGGGCACCTGCTGCGGCACGGACGTGACCGGGTGAGCCTTGGAAAAGGACCTCAGGCCAAGCTGCAGAGGAGAGCGCCCCCACCCCTCCAAGTCTGCACCAATCTGACCCCCCGACAAGCTCCTTTTTGACCCAAACCTGTGGGTCCTGAGCAAAAGAGCACGGGACTCTCCAGACAGGTCCCAGGAGGTTAGGAGCGCGAGTAGGAGCATCGGTGCCTCCAGTGCAGTTCTCAGCTCTCCTGGGGCCAATGCCCAGCGCTTCAGAGGGAGCCGAAACCGCCACCGACCAGCCAACGCACCCCGGAGCCGGCAGCACCCTCCTAGCCCGTGCGGGCGACCAGCAGCTCTGCCACGAGGCTGCCAGATGCGCCAAGACAGAGTTCCCCTTCGCCCCGCCGTGGGGACAGTAAAACCTGAACGCGCGTCTCAGCGAAGCAGGTCGCGGAGCCAAGACCAGCCCTGAGCCGGCGCCTTCTCGCGCCCATCACCTTGCTGAGCTCTGCCTCCAAGCAAGGCAGGCTCCCTGCCCCGTGTCCTACACCCAGCCCGAACTCCAGCCCTGCCTGAGAAACCTCCTAATTTCCTGTCTCAATTTGACCGTGACCAGGTTGTAGACATTTGATCTCGACTACTACTGTTCCTTCCCTGCCCTGATATTAACCCTGCAGATCTAGTTGTAAAATAATTACTGATACGTCCCCTCTCAGCCTACATTTTGCTTAGCAAAATGAGCCCGTTTCTTTCTTCCTGTCTCGCAAGACAGGGTCTCCTTTCCCTTAGCCGCCCTGGTTGCCCTGTTTTGGACCTGTTTGATTTTCGATTAATCTTCTCTGAATAGCAGGGACCAGAACCAGGCACGATATCCTACGCGGGTCTGATCCAGTGTATTAGTGCTGAATATATGCGCTGGCGGAGACTCGCCCACTCTCCAGCCTCTTCCTCGTGTCGGACCTCCAACTCAATTTGCGCCGGGCTAGACCTTGACCAGGCAGCTCGAGGCAAAACGGATGTGTGCTTCACATAAACAACAGCCCTGATGCAGCTCCACCAGTGCAAATTTCTCTAATGTATGCAGGGCTGCAGACCGAGCGCCCAGACGCCTCCTGTCAGCAAAGTGTTACTCAGAGACAAATCCATGTGTTCCTCAGATACAACGCGCTCCCGGAGTGGAGAGCTGCCTTTAAAAGAGCATTTAAAGGTCTGTCATGAAATGTGAAATCCTATTTCTGCTCCGCTGTTGCAGCCGCCCGAGTCGGCGATGGAGGCTGCGCCGCGCGCCAAATTCCAGCCGCTCCAGCGCTCGCTCTTTACAGCCCTGCTTTGGCATCTGCTCCCAAAGAAGCGTGATGTCCTTGCGATGTAATTTTCTTTCCTTGTTTTAAAGCCTGTTTGCTGGGGAAGGTTCAGGGGAGAACTGTGAGGCTCCTGAAGGAGTCTGGAGCGCGCGGAGCTGTTTCGGGCTCGGGGATGTAATGGAATGGAGTTTGCAGCATGTTGGTTGCTAATACAGTTACTCTTGAAGGCGCCTGCAGCCTGCTGCTTCTTGCTGTTTTCCAGCAGCGGCGGTTTATCCTGCTAAGCTAAGCCATGCTGTGGATATCCGGTTCACCAGGGTATATGTTTAGCTAGCTCTCCATTTGAGAAGCAGGGCAAAGTATCAGAGAAATGCCTGCAGCAGAATTCAGTCACTCTATGGTGTGCCACTGCAGCGAGAAGAAACAAATCCCTTTATGATATGGCCAAAGCAGGCTCAAGGCAGTCCCAGCTGTCAGAGGGAGAGAAATGGACAGGCACAGAAGTACATAGACAGGTTAATGGCAGCTGCAGATGCACCGTAGTGCACAATTGGATTTTGTCTTCTCTACCTGGAGGGATCGGGATCTCGTCCGTCCGCGCTCTGGAGCGCTCAGTAGGCCTTTGCAGCGACGGGGCCGGAGCGGCTGGAGAAAGCAACAACTGTATGCAATGGCCAAGCCAGGCGCGCCTTTCCAGAGAGGCTGGACGTGGAGAAGCGATCCCGCGCATTTCGAGTCGCTTGGTTTAAGGCTCTGAAACTCTGGCGGTTTTACTCCCTGCCTGGGTTTTGTCCCATTTTCTT